ATATATATATATATATATATAGGGTTTCATAGATGCTATTTAAAAAATAATCGGATTCATCGTAGTGTGTATATTTTGGTTCTAATTACAAAAGTGATGGTAGTTTGTTGCCAAAAATTCAATTGTTAGAGAAATATGCATTGTGGAAAGAAAAAGTGGTGTGGAGATCCACATGCAGAAAGGCCCACAGAGCCCTGGCCGGTTTGGCTCAGCGGTTAGAGCGTCCGCCTGCGGTACAGAGAGACCCGGGTTCGGTTCCCGCTAAGGGCATGTACCTCGGTTGCAGTTTGTCCCCGGCCCTGGTTGGTCGTGTGGGTGGCAGCCACTCGATGTGTCCCTTCACATCGATGTTTCTCTCTCTCTCTCTTCCTCTCTCTCCCTCCTACTCTATCTGAACAAAAAATGGAAAAATGTCCTCGGGTGAGGATAAAAATTAAAAAATAAAATAAAAAAAAAAAAGAAAGGCCCACAGATGTTTTATGGCACCCAGGGAGGGGCAGTGCCCCAAGGGTTGGCAAGGCCCCAGATGTGAAAGCATCAGAATACAGAATATGAAAGAAATAGTTAATTCAGCATGCTTAATGCTTTAGTAGGCTTTGCCAAGTTGCCCTTGCCAAAGGTTCTACCAAGGGACACCCTCTCCAACAGTTTGGAGATTTTCCATTTCCCCACACCTCCAACTCTGGGCATTCCCAAATTTCTTCATTTGGTTAAACTGAGGGGAAAATTGACTAGATTGCGAAAAGCGCACACATGCTCCAGTTGTGTCCATTTCCTCCACGATTAAACATATGGTCACCAGCTTAAATCTCTAAGGGTCCAGCTGAAGGTCAAGATTTGCTGCTTTTGGCACAAGCTTCACCTCTCCCCTCTCCCCTCTCCCCTCTCCCCTCTCCCCTCTCTCTTCACTAAGCCCCAGCCACACTGACCTTTAACTTCCTGTAATGGACCAAGCCCCTTCCCACCTCGGGACCATTGCACATGCTGCTCCCTCTGCTCTGAACCTCTTCACCTAGGTAACTCTTATTCACCCCTTGAGCAGATTCTTGCAATTGGCGGGGGGGGGGGGGGGAGAAAAACTTGTTTTTCCATTTATAATAATACTACCAGCTATATAAGATTGCGATGAGGATCAAATGAGATATATATGATCTGAAGCCCTCCCTGACCACCCTACCCAGGTCATGTTCCTAATGTTATCCTTCCTCATAGATCTCTCCATTTGGGGAGGGAGGTATACACCATAAATATAATTAAATAATTACAATATTATCTGCTTCATGTTTCTCTCTCCCATTAAGACCATGACTCGGGAAGGGCAGAAATGGTGCCCAGCACCAGCCCTCCTCCTCAGAAGCTCCTGATACATGTCTGTCAAATTAATGAAATGGATGGATCAAATGAGCTCTATCTTTGACTCAATTATACTAAAGTGTCAGAGGCTACACTTTTTTTTTTATCCTCACCCAAGGACATTTTTTGCATTTATCTTCAATAGAGCAGGAGAAAGAGAGGAAGGAAGAGAGAGAAACTTCTATGTGAGAAAGACACATCGAGTGGCTGCCATCCACACAACCCCAACCAGGGCTGGGGACAAACTGCAACCAAAGTACATGCCCTTAGTGGGAACCAAACCTGGGATTCTCTGGTCGGTGGGCCGACACTCTAACTGCTGAGCCAAACTGTCCAGGGCTAGGCTACACTTTTTATCACTGTTATCAGCATGTCCATTTTCTCCCTTTCCACACTGTTTTATAAAAACAAAGGACAGCCCTGGCCAGTTTGGCTCAGCAGTTAGAGCGTCAGCCCACGGACCAGAGAGTCCCAGGTTCGGTTCCCGCTAAGGGCACGTACCTTGGTTGCAGTTTGTCCCCAGCCTCATGGAGTTGTGTGGGTGGCAGCCAGTCGATGTGTCTCTCTCACATCGATGTTTCTCTCTCTCTTCCTCCCTCTCTCCTTCCAGCTCTATCTGAATATAAATGAAAAAATAAAATAAGATAAAACAAAGGACAAAATGCAGTCATGCTCACACCACTGCACAACAAGCCACGTCAGGCCAGGCCAAGATGGCCCCAAATCTCAAACAGAATTGTTAGTGGGTAGGCAGTGCCCCTATGTGATTGCTGGGAATGTTTGCTTTTCTGTTTATGTACAGTGTTAAAATTCAATACTCTGGTTAGACAGTTGGTTTGTCCTTCCAGATCATCTCTCATCCTTCTCCCCCAAAGTCTGTGCCCTGAGAGGCTGACAGCATGACCGGCTACTTTGCCCTCCTTGCCTTCTGGTGCAGTCAATCCCTTCAGCAGCAGATGGCGGGTAGGAGGGAAGAGACTGCAGGGTCTTTATTTCCTTGCCCCTGATCATCAGCTGAATCTAGTGACTCAATTCTAAAGTTCAGAAGGTGGTAGTAGAAGTGATACAATGTAACTAACTTCCCATGCTAGGTCATAAAAAGATACATCTTCCACTTGGTTTTCCTTCTGTTGGATCACTTGCTCTGGGGAAACCCACTGCCAAGATGGGAGTAGACTCAAACATCACAAGTAGGCATTCCACCAACAACTAGCATCCACCTGTCAGCCATGTGAGTGAGCCACCTGGGAAGCAGATCCTCCAGCCCCAGTCAGACCTTCAGATTACTTCAGCACCCACAAACACCTTGATTGCAATCCTGTGAGAGACCCTAAGCCAAAAAAGCTCAGCAAAGCCGCTCCTGGTTTCCTGACCCACGAAAACTGTATGAAATAATAAGTTTGGGGATAATTTGTTATGCAGCAATAGAGAACTACTACAACTGCTAATCAAAGTCCCATGCTTCCACCTCAGGACCTTTGCACTTGCTGTTGGCTCTGTTTGGAACTCTCTTCCTCCACTTCCTTTAGGTCTTCCCTCAGATGTTACTTCCCACCGCCTTCCCTGCGCCCCCCTTCTCAGTTCCTGTTTCACTCTAGTACTTAATTCCTATCTTATTATATATTTGTTTCTTGTCTGTCTCTCCCACTAGAATGCCAAGTTTCTTTTGTTCCATGCTCTGGCTGCAGTACCTGGAACAGTGCCTGGCACAGAATAAACACTCAATATAGACGCCATTATTATGAGAATCTAGCAGTCCTGATTCTTGTCATAGTTGGATCAATCTCCCACCTGTTTCCTGCCCACTCGGTGCCCACCCTAGTCAGGGGATGTGACATAGTAATTATAGTAATTGGCAACTATAATAGGAAAGCCCCTTCATGTCTCCCCAGTTCCCTCCAGACAAAATCCCAGATCCTTCGTACAGCCTACAGGCCCCCAACCCTGCCTGAAATCCCACCATTCAGCCACAAAGAACCATGAAATGTTTACATTCACCAATAGAGTAGTCTCCACACCTACAAACAAAGCTTTGGGGGTCAAGTAAAAAACATTAGAATAACTTTTTTTTTCTTTATTGATTTTAGAGAGAGAGAGGAAGGGAGGAGAGATAGAAACATCGATGAGAGAGAGCATCTACTGGCCACCTCCTGCATGCCCCCCACTGGGGATTTGGCCCACAACCTGGGCATGTGCCCTGACCAGGAATCGAACTCGAGACCTCTTGGTGCATGGGTCGATGCTCAACCACTGAGCCACACTAGCCGGGCAAGAATACCTATTTTTTAATCTCACTTTTTGTTTGCTAAAGAATATCTTTATGTAAAAAATATAGTATAAAATTATCTACAGAATCTATTGGCATAACCGTATTAATATATTATTTATAAATAAATATCTATCTAGGGGTGAAGCTTCAACATTTTTACTGATGGGGTGCACAACTGAAAAAAGAGATTAGAATCATTTATCCTAGTGCAATTCCCTCACCCCTCCACCGCCACCCCCAGAGGACATCTGGCATCCTCTGGAGACATTTTCACTTGTTAACCACTGAGGGAGGGGTGTCACTGGCATCTAGAGGATGAAGACCAGAGATGGTGTTCAACATCCTGCATTGCACAGGACAGGCCCCAGCACAAAGAACTCTCCAGCCCAAAATGTCAGTAGTGAGGCTGTTAAGAAGCCCTGGTCTAAAGCACCAGGCTCTCTCTTGATTCTGGTGTCTTTGCACCAGCTGCTTCCTTCTCCCCACTCTATTCTTCCCCTAACTAAAACCTCAAACTTCAAGCCGTTTCCTCCTCCAAGAAGCCACCCCTGCTGCCTACAAGTTGGGCCAGAGCCCCTGCTAAGGGCCCCTCCAGCCACCTGTGCTGAGTAGAACCGTCTTAGACCCAGGGGTTCTCAACCTTGAGATTTACAATGCAAATTCCCTGAACCTTTGACAGCCGGATTCTGCCGGACTGCTGGGACCAGAAACCTGTATTTTTACAAGCATCTCCCCATACCCCCAATGCCTGTCCTTTCGGACCGACAGCAAAGGTGGCCCAGTGACTAGTTCACCTACTAGTTTGCACACCAGGCGCTACTAAGAATTCTACCCGGTGTCTGGAATTTTGGCAAATACACACACACACACACACACACACACACACACACACACGATGTAGCCACTATTATCATCCCCATTTTACAGAGGAGTACACTAAGGTTCAGAGAGGGGACTTGGCTAGGTAAGAGCCTCAGAAGAGGTAGGGGCCCAGGTCCTAATTAGCGCCTGATTCCTGGGGGAGGGAGAAGGTGAGGAACTAGAGGAGAACGAGCTTGAAGGGGCAGGGGGTGGGGGGGGCGCTGAGACCAGCAGCGGCCTTCCCATACGGCCCCGCCCCCACGAGGGACGTGAAGACGCGGACCCCGCGCAGCGTGGGGACATGTGACCGACTGCAGTGGCCGCGCTGCCTCCCCCACCTGAGGTCTGCGCGCTCCGCCGCAGGGTACAGACCCCAAGAGCCCTCCTGGGTTTGGGGCGCAAGAGCAGAGGCGGAGCCAGGGCGGGGCCAGTGCATCGCCCCCAGCACCCAACGAAAGTGAAAGGGGGCCGAGAAGGAAGGGCGGAGCCTGCCTGGAGCCCCTCCCCCTGCCCTGGCGCTGCTGGACCGCCGGGCGCGCCCAAGTACGGGGGGCGCCGAGAGCGCAGTGCGGACCCTCGCGAGTACCTGCGCGGTTGCCACCATGTCTCAGGAAGGTGTGGAGGTAGGAGATGACTACGGCTGGGCCGGGGCCCGCAAAAGATGCCAAGGAGGGGCTGGGGCCGGGGCTTCGGAAGGGGTTTCGCAGTTCCTGGGGACTCCATCCGAAGCCCAGACCTTTACCCCCGCCACCTCAGGAAGGAGAGTGACTGCCACCTACCCCAGAGCGAAATGAGGCCTGCTTGAGGAAAAGCAGGGGCTGCAGTGTCAAGGGTCAAAGGCCAGGGGTTACCTGGCCAGCCTCCTCCTGAGCCTGGAACGTTTGCCCCAGCCCGCACCCTCCCCCAGTGCCCGATGGGGACTTTGGCTTTTTCCAGGAAATGTCATAGAGGGATGGAGGTGGGAGGTGCCGAGGCCAAAACTATGGGTCAAGTTCAGGGAGAAGGATGCCTAGAAATGGGAGAAGGGCAATCGCTCTTCTCCTTCCCCCATCGGAGCCCTCCTGTCCCCACCCCAGCTGGAGAAGAGTGTCAGGCGCCTCCGGGAGAAGTTTCATGGGAAGGTCTCCTCCAAGAAGGCGGGGACTCTGATGAGGAAATTTGGTAGCGACCACTCAGGAGTGGGCCGTTCCATCGTGTACGGTGAGTGGGCGGGCAGGCTGGGGTCCCGGGCCTGGTGGGGGTTCCCCATGGGAGGGGGGAGCATGGTCTGTGAGGAAGGTAGGAAGAGGCATTGAGATTCTCCCTTGGGGAGGGTTTGTATTGGGGCTCTGGGGACCTGAAACTCCCATAAGATCCTTCAAGGGCCCTTCACTTACGCTTACTCTCCCCACCAGGGGTAAAGCAGAAAGACGGACAGGAACTGAGTAACGACCTGGATGACCAGGTAAACTGCCTCCCTCTCCTCAAAGGACAGGGTAGCTGGGAAGGGAGAACAGAGGGAACCCGGACAATCCATGGTGAGCCCCCTCAGTGCACCGCCAGTTCGCAACTCATGGTCCAACCACATTTACTTATTCACTTTTCAGTTGTGTGTCAGCTAGGGAGCCTGCAAACAGTAGGTGTTCATTACATGCTGATGGTATTAAATGAAAGAGAGAGACGTGAAACTAGGCAATGACACAAGCCAGGATTAACGTCATCATAGAGGAGCCCTAGAGGTCAGGCAAAGCTTCCTGGAGGATGTGTTGCCAACTCTTCAAAGCTGGAGAACAATGATCCCTGGAAATGGAGGGGTCAGAAACAGTCTTCCTGGAAGAGGGAACAGCTGAGCAAAGGAACACAAACAGGCTGGGATGAGAAGGAAATGGGGGAAGAAAGAGGGAAAGGGGAGCTCGTGTTGAATAAATGAATGTATGAAAGGCTCTGAGGCATAGGAACATCATGGCACTTTGCCCTTTGGATTGCTTTGGTAGCTGGTGCACTGTGGATTTTGCCTACTTGAAAGGCCCAGAATAGAGTTGTTAAAGAGTATAGTAAAATATGTCTGATGGCACCAAGTGCCTCAGTGGAAGGAGGTAATAACCCAACCCCTGTCCTCAACTCTCCCTGACTCTGTCCAATAAAATATGTAGTATACTTTTCACATTTATACCTATAAAGAGTATGACAAAAAATAATAGCAGGAGCCCTGGCCAGTGTGGCTCAGTTGGTTGAGCATTGCCCTGTGCACCAAAAGGTCACCAGTTCAGTTCCTGGTCAGGGCAGATGCCCAGGTTGCAGGTTCCGTCCCCAACTGGGGTGCATACAGGAGGCAGCTGATCTGTTTCTCTCTCTAAAAATCAATATAAACATTTAAATAATAATAATAGCAAAGAGTAGCATTGAGCACTTCCCTTGCAGCAGGACTCCAGGAATTTTACATGTTGACTCATTGCCACAGTGGCCCCATGAGACAGGTCCTATTATTTATCACCCCATTTTACGGATAAGGAAATGGAGACACAGAGTGATGAAGTCACAGGCCAGGACTACCCAGCATGCAGGTAGCAGCTGGGATTTGAAACCCAGCTACCCACAGTCAGAGTCTGAGCTATGAATTGCCCCTCATTAGGGACCCAGGGGGATAGCTTGGCCATGGTCCCACAGCTGGAAGTAATGGAGCCAGGGGGTCAAACCTGCTTTTGTCTGAACCTAGAGCTGGAACACTTAGCCTAAAGCAGCATGGCCTCAAAGAGTTGACCTGTACCAATGCCAACAAGTGTGTGGCATTTTCAAACAGGATGGGAGCATAGGGTCCAGACCTGCTTCACCACACTTGCTCAGAGTTATCTCAGGCAAGGTCTCTCCCAGTTCTGGTTGTCAGTTTCCACATTTGAACAATGGGGATAACAAGTATGCTCACCTCTCAGAACTGCTGTGAGAATAACTGGTGTCATGCACCTGGCTCTCAGTAAGTGAGCACTGCTCAATCAGCTCCTTGTAAGTTAGGGACACTTTACTCTTATATGGGGCCAGGATCCACCCCCAAGAAATAAGCTTGAAAGAGGCCTGAGCTGAATTCCCCAGCCTCTGCCCCTGGTATCTCCACCCAGGACCCGCCAGAAGACATGAAACAGGACCAAGACATCCAGGTGAGTTCAGTATATGGGAATGGGGGAGGTGGAGCAGGGAGATTCATGGGAGAGAGAGGTACATCATAGGGGCATGAGGGGGGCCCATCTGTTGTTTATGGCAGTGGAGGAGGGGAGACCACCCTCTTAGTGCTCATCCCCTTACTCCGCAGGCAGTGGCAACCTCCCTCCTGCCACTGACCAAAGCCAACCTACGCATGTTCCAACGTGCCCAGGAAGACCTTATCCCTGCCGTGGACCGGCAGTTTGCCTGCTCCTCTTGTGACCATGTCTGGTGGCGACGAGTGCCTCAGCGGAAGGAGGTGATAACCCTTGACCTTGATTCTCCCTGACTCTGTCCAAACTTCGCTTCCACTTCTTCAGTGTCTGAAGCTCTGACTTAAGACCATCAGCCTCTGAGAGCTCAACCTCTGTCTCAGATGCCAACTCCCAACCCTGAACTGAACTTCTGACTTTCTACTTGAACTCAACCCTTACCCCAGAGCTTGACCTCTGACTCCACAGTTTGAAAGTACCACAGAAATTAGACCTGAAACCACACCACCAAATCTGGCTTCTGAACCACCTGACCAGTGACATGCTTCTGGTAAATGTTAAGAACCAGCTCTTGAAGCATAGGCCTAGGAGGAACCCCAGATTTGTAGTGTTTACCAATTTCCATGGTGTAAATATTCCCACTGTGACCAATATCAACCTACCAGAGCACCCACTGAGAGCGAGCCTACTCCCTTCTCCACACCCACAGGTGTCCAGGTGCAGGAAATGCCGAAAGCGCTATGAACCAGTACCCTGTGACAAGATGTGGGGCGTGGCTGAGTTCCACTGCCCAAGGTGCCGGCACAACTTCCGGTGAGGGTGCTGACCCCCACCCCATCCCTTGGCCCATCCCTCCACCCCACCTCCGCCATGGCCCACCCCAGTCCAGCCTCACCCTGACCCTTGGATCCTCATGGCCCTGACCACCCACAGGGGCTGGGCACAGATGGAGTCCCCATCCCCTTGCTATGGGTGTGGCTTTCCCGTGCATCCTACACGGATCCTCCCTCCGCGCTGGGACCGGGACACAGATCACCGCAGCACCCACACCCACTCCTGTTCAGCTGCTGACTGCTACAACCGGCGAGGTAAGGGCCTGGCATGTCTTCTGTAGCCTCCCCCCAACTCTGGGCAGTCTACTTGGCCTTGACTCTTAAGACATCAGTTTCCGGGGCCTTAACGACCAAGGTTTCAATCCTTGTGGCCACTTCCCATGGTATCAGCGCCTTCTTCCATGTCTTCTGTGGCCCCTCAAGTCTCTGTGGCTTCCAACACTACCTCCCATGGCATCAGCCACCTTCTGTGGTCTTACCAATGAGGCTCTGTAATTTTCTTCCAGTGGCCCACACCCAATGTCCTGTAGCCTCTGCCCCTGTGGTCTGTGTATTCTTGGTTCCTGTTTTGTCTCCTGCAGTCTCAGGTGATGCCCATGTCCCTGGGTCTCCTGTGGCTTTGACACCTATGACTTTCACCTCTGAATTTCCTGTAGCTCTGAGTCTGTAGCCTCAACTCCTCCCCTCTCCAGAGCTCCCTTGGCGTCAGCCCCCTTGTCCCCAGAGTTTCATGTGACCTCAAGCCCCAGGACCTCAGAACCCCTCCCTTCCCAGAGCCCCACGTGCCTGGGACATCCTGTGCACATCCCAAGAGCCGGAAGCAGAACCACCTGCCCAAAGTCCTGCACCCCAGCAACCCCCACATCAGTAGTGGCTCCACTGTGGCCACCTGCCTGAGCCAGGCGGGCCTCCTAGAACACCTGGACAACCTCATCCTGGAGGACCTGCAGGAAGAAGAGGAAGAGGAGGAGGAGGAGGAAGGCGGGCATGGGGAGTGACCCCTGCCAGGTGCAGATGCAAACCAGACACAGTCTGTGGATATTTTGTGTTGTTATAAAATATGAGCTCAAACTGAGATCTAAGTGCCCTTGGGGAGCCACCTGGGTTGGAGATGTTGGCAGGGGGATTCCTGGGTCCTGTTTTCAAGATCCTGGGGAGCAGATCCACAGTGGGAAGGTCTGTGGGACCATGGCTAACACTGAACCACAAAGGAGGCGCGGCCAGGCCAGGACAACTTGGGCTCCTGCTGACAACATCCCCTGGGACCTGGGGAACAGATGGACAGATGGTCACAGCCTCAGGGGCCGGATCAGCATGGCAGCCTTCTTGAGAGAGTAAGCCCCACCACGAAACTCCGCCCAGTAGACTCCATCCTGGTAGCGGTTGCGGTAGTGGCCACCGTGGTGCCACACACCATTGAGGTTGGAGTGGGCACAGGCATGGTACCACCAGCCTCCCCGATGGTACAGGGCACAATTACCTGAGGGGAGAGAGAGAGAGTTCATGTCCTCTGACCAGAATAAAAGCCTCTACCAGTTCCTCACTAGTGCAAGACTTCAGCCAGGTGTCTCCTGGCCTCCCACTTTTTCAGAGTAATGTCCTTAATTCCTTCCCTATTCTCTTACCAAAGTACAAGTCACACTTTCTTCAAACTAGGATTTCTACCTCTCATTCCTTTGGGGGGGGGGGACACACTCCACTTTCTTTCTAGAATAAGAGTCCCAGCTCTCACACACTACCCCCATACTCACCACATGCATGCCCCATCTTTCACCAGAACAGGAGTCCTGACTCTTATTATTACCTCATCAGAGAATGAATCTGAGCTCCCCAGACCCTCATCAGGAAAAAAAAAAAAAAGTCCTGTCCTCTGTTCTCTTGCATACACTGATCTTTACCAGAGAGGAATCTCACCCACCCCCTTCCCTTCTTTCACTAGAAGTACCACCTCCCCTACCCCTTACCAGAATAGGAGTCTCGGTCCCTATCCACAGTGCTGAAAGGCTTGTCATTGTGCCAGGACAGAGAGTCTCCAGCATCTCCATAGTACTGGCCGAGCCGTAAGCGGTAGTGATCACTCTCAGGCTCCAGGGAGAAACCATCATAGTGGGCACGTGCACCACGGCCCCCCCAATCCTCCAGGAGCACCAGCAGCTCATGGTCCCCACGGCTGGTCAGCTGATGCACAGGTTCAAGACCCAGCCAGTATTCTCCATCAGGCTGCCCAAAGCCCGCCTAGCAGGGCAGGAAAGTCAGGAAGTTAGGAATAAGTCCCCTCCCCCGCCCAACCCTGCTCCTACCTACCGATGCCCACCTTGTAGTGTTGCCAGGTAGTGAAAAAGTTGACTGAGCCGTCTTGCCGCCTCTGGATCACAGTCCAGCCTCCACCCTCCAGCTGTTGCTCGCACCATGCTGATAGCACATGCCGGCCCAGTCGCAGCTCATACACTCCATTCTGCCCATGGCCTGCCTGGTGCGCCTCTGCACAATCTTGCCATGGGCCTGTGGGCAGAGATATGGAGTAAGTACAGCCTGAACCAACTCCTTATTGGAGTAAGTCCTAAATCACACTGGTCCCCTCACCAGAAGCAGTGTTCCCTCTCCCATTCTCTCATCAAAATATGTGCCCCAGTACCAATTTCCTTACCTGAATAAGACTGAGTCACTCTTCTCTCACTATAACAAATGTAGATCCTAAAGTTCTTAAATCCTGGTTCTATGGTCTCCTCACCAGAATAAAAATCCTAAACATGGCACTCTGAACCAGCTTGAATTCTCACCAAAGTAGCGATATTAAGTTCCCTGAACCCTCATCAAAATAGAAGTGCTTCCTCCTATTTTCATACCATAATAAGAATTTTGGCCTTTATCAGAGTAAGAGCTATAGCCCCTTGTTCAGTCACCATATTAAAAGTATTTCCTCCAATCCTCTCACCATGAGAGGAATATGCCATTAAAATCCTGACTCCTATTTCTTTCTACTCATGCTGCACTAGAAGTTCCCTGGCTCCTCACACCCCCAACAGCCCTGCCCTCATCTTACCCGCTGGCTTGGTGGGGACAGCAGGGTGCCCTGCAGGCATGGGAAAGGCCAAGGGCCCCTGCTGTCTCGGGGTCTGGTCTCTCTGGGACTCTGAGGCTGGCTCTAATTTGCTGGTATCATTGGTGCCACCCACCAGACTGACCGGAACCACAGGCACCAGGGGTGGTGGCAGGACCTGGGTGACCAAAAGAATCAGAAGTGATTGCATTAACCCTCAGCTCAAGCCACCCTGGGCTCCTAACTCTCAGCATCCAGATGGATAGGAGTCAGGCAAGGGCATGGATTGATCCTCCCCAAATGCCTAACTCTAGCTGTCAAGAGTAGACAGAGCTGAGCATAAATCCCTGCTCAGTCTGAGGTGCACAACTTAACCAATCCATGCCCCTAAATTCTTTTCTTTAAAGTAAAAATAATATGAGTGCCTATAACAATGAGTATTTACTTACTGAATGCTCTCAACAACCCTGTAAGGTAGGAACTGTCCCAGAGCAATATGTTATTCAAAACCCAGGGCCAGACACATTCCAGAATTCAGAATAATATGGCAGGAGTTAGAAACAATAATATAGGGTGTATGCTGTATATTACATAACACCTCAATAACATGGGTCTTTGGTCTTTATCCACGTAATATGCTTGATTACAGGATTCTAAGAATATTCATATACAATGGATAAGTAAAGACGCCAGTTGCGTTTTGACTCAGATGAATTATAGGAGAAGTAGGAATCTGGGTTTTGGAACTCCAGATAAGACACTGGGTTTGCAGAAGGCCCATCTTACAGACAAGGCGCACAGGAAGTGGCTGCGATTCCGGGAGTACCGCATGGGTTACCTGCTGCTGCCCGCCCGCGCCCCCCGGACACAGGCGCTCCAGGCGGGCAATAAGGCTACTCTGCTGGCTGACCAGCTGGGCCAGCTCGCGGAACTTGACGTCTAGCTGGTGAAAGCGGATGGCTGCGCGCTGCGCCTCGGCCGACGCGTTGAGCACACGCTCCCCCAGCAGTGCCAGCGCGGCATCGGGTTCCGACCTCGGGCCGGGGCCCGCCTCGTGCTGCAGCTGCGTGCGCAGCTGGCCTAGGCGCGTGCTCAGACCGCGGCTCTCCTTGCGCAGCGCGCGCACCTCGCCCGCCACGTCGCCGTCAGCCGCCGCCAGACGCTGAAGTTCTCTCAACAGCTCCTCGTGACGGCCCACACGCACGCGCAGCGCCGCCACCTCGCTGGCGTTCACGGCCCCCGGCGCCGGGCGCGCGGCCACCAGCCCGTTCCAACACACGGCGCCCGTGAACTTCTGCTGAGGTAGCACGAAGGTGTAGGTGCAGCGCGGGGCTCCCGCCCGTGCCCAGGATGCGCCCAGCAGAAGCAGCAGCTGCAGCATGCTCAGCCCGGGTGCCCACATGGCGGACCTGCAGGCAGAGGACGAACGGGAAGGAGAAGGGGCCCGAGAACCTAGACTCAACCCCTGACTCTCAGGCCAGCCAAAGCCAATTGTTCCCAATGCGGATGTTTACACCTGCATGGCTCTTGGTCCACACACGCCCACCTGTATTCCCTCACCTCACCACCACCACCAAGGCTGGAAACTACTCAAAGTGGGATCCCACCCAGGCCTTTCCATTGAGTTCCAGGCATCCTGCGGGACAGCATTCATTCAACAAGCATTCATTGAGTGCCTGCTGTGTGCCGGCTTCAGTTCAAGGCACTAGGAATACAGATGGAAACAACACAAAATCCCTGCCCTAGTGGGCAAGGAACAAAATAAAGTATGAGATTAATAAAGTGTTTTAGATGGCACTAAGGGATAAACATAGTTAAAAATGGGAGAGACGTATCGATCTAAGCAGGAGCAATTTGAGAGAAGGGAAGACCTCCTGGAAGAGGTGACATTTGAACAAAGTCCTGAAGGAGGAAATCATAGGGATATATGGGGGAGAAGAGCAGCCCTGGCAGGGGATAGAGCATGTGCAAAGGTCCTGAAGCTAGTTCATGCCTGATGTATTAAAGGAACCTCCGGAGGCTAGAACAGAAGCAGGAGAAGCATGGGTGGGAGCTGGTGAGGTGGGGTGAGGGGCAAGTCTCTCTAAATCAGTCTAGTAGTGGACACCCCATCTCCCATGTCCTCAGATCAAAACAGTGCCTGGTGCCACACACACACACACACCAAATACCCACATGCCCCAGGCCTGCTGTGCCCCCAGATGTGACTTACACAGGTGACCTCCTACAAGTGTCCTCATTCAAGGGTGTGTACTTGTGACCACCAACTCCCGACCCTATAGGGTCCACACAAGGGCCCCCATTGCCTCCATTCCTGGGTTCACAGCCTCTCAGATGGCTTGCCAATACTCAGAACACACCTCACATGTCCACACATCACCCCTATCTGTACCAAGTTCTATCATGACCTAACCCACAAGTCCTGGTAGCAACGCAGGCACACATACATTGCCTCATTCACATACTCAACAAACACTCGTTGAGTGCCTATTGTGTGCCAGGAGCTGTTCCAGGCAATGGCGTCACAGGCATGACCAAGAGAGACAAAACTGCTGCCCTCATGCAGTTGACATCTGGTTGGGAAAATGGATGGTGGATAGGGTCAGAGGGTGGTAAGTGCTTAGGAGAAACCTCAAGCAGGAAGGGGGTGGGAGTCCTGGGCTGGGGACACATTTTAAATAGAGGGGTCAGGCCCGGCTGGTGTGACTCAGTGGTTGAGCATCGACCCATGCACCAAGAGGTCGCCAGTTGGATTCCAGGTCAGGGCACATGCCCATGTTGTGAGCCAAATCCCCAGTGGGGGGCATGCCTGAGGCAGCCAATTGATGTCCTCTCTCATCAATGTTTCTATCTCTCTCCCTCTCCCTTCCTTTCTCTCTAAAATCAATAAAGGGAAAAAAATTCAAAATAAATAGAGGGTTCAGGCCTCTATTTCAAGAGAAGATGACACTTAAGTGAAGACTTGAAGGAAGAGAGAGAAAGCAAAGGGCATTTAAGCAAAGGAAACAAGTACAAAAGCCCTGAAGAGGGAGCTGGTTTGATGTACCCAAAGAACAGCAAGGAGGCCTGTGAGGCTGGAACAGTGAGCAACGGGGAGAGTGGAAAGAGGTAGAGAGGTGAGGGGACAACATGTGCAGGACCCTGAAAGCCTCAAGGAGAACTTGGGTTTTACTCTAACTCAAGTGGTAACCAGGAGGGGTTCTGAGCTGGAAAAAGGCACATTCACGACTGAACTCACATATCAAACAGGAGCTGCCAAGGGCAGAGAAGAGTTCTCTCTTAGCCCCCTCCCTCAAAGACACTAGGCCCCTCACTACAGAAATGGACCATATTCCCTGGAGCTAGAGTATGTAACAACCACTGCCTATCAGGATCTCAGCCTGAAGTGAGGAGGAGGCCTGGGAAGCCCCCCAGCAAGCAAAGGCCCAGGTCTTCCAACAGACAGAATTAGCCTCCAACTGCCCTCCCACCCTCCTGCCCTCTCACCTCTCGCCACCAAGATCCTAAATTCAGCGAGGAGGCCCGTAGCAGGCACAGAAGTCAGAGGAGGAGCCAAGGGTCCAGCAGGAGACTCTGAGCTGGGGAAGGGAAGAGACCCGTGGGAGAGAGGAGGGAGGAGACTTGGTAACCCCCTACTCCACCCCCCCACCCACACCCAGAGCCTGGGACTAGAGCTGTGATGGTGAGCCCAGGAGCTCCAATTGTAAATATTTAGCATTTTCCGCGTGAGAACTGAGGCCAAATTGCCAGAACCCCTGCCCAGGACACCAGAGCCTGATAACACAGGTCAGTGCCCTGGACATTCCCCCCACAGCAGAGCACAGAGCGTGGGAGGCTGCAGGCCCGGGGAGGAAGCCAGGGAGATCCAGCCTCAGACACAGACACATGCACAGAAAAGGGCAATAGCCAATATCTACAGTGTCACCTGCTGTGTGTCAGGCATGACTCTAAACTCTTTATACCTTTTTTTAAAAATATGTTTTTATTGATTTTTTTTTTTTTTTAGAGAGAGAGGAAGGAAGATGGAGAGAGCTAGAAACATCAATGAGACATCAACATCCATCAGCTGCCTCCTGCACGCCCCTGCTGGGGACCAAGCCCCAAACCTGGGCATGTGCCCTGACCAAGAATCAAACCTGGACCTCTCAGCCTATGGGACAACTCTCAATGCACTGAGCTACACTGACCAGGCTAAATTCTTTATACCTTTTATTTCATTTAATCCTTGCAACTTAAGCCGGCTTCTCTGTGCAGCTTCACTTTACAGCAGGAAAAACTGAGCCTCAGAGAGGGTCAGTGACTTGCTCCTGGTCCCACAGACCAAAAGGCTCCACAGTGGGATTGGGCCCAGGTAGCTTGGCTCCAAAACTTGCACATGTATATTGCTACAGTCACACATACCCAAGTGCACATAACAATGCAGGACAAAGACACACAGACACCCAATGAGACATGCAAACCGCTGCACAAAGCAGCAAAGATAGACAGATGGAATATGTGCATGCCTGTGCATCTGGGTATTTGCCTGGCACGTGCATACACAGATTCCTTTTGCCAAAGACACAACTAGAAACACAACACAGATTCAGGCAGCAGTTGTATGTTCAAAATATGTTCACACACACATATATATCACGACTTAAAGGAAAATATCCTGTGAGCTGAGCGTGTCTGTACCTGTTTGTCAGACACATACACGCCCAGGTACATGGGGTCACACACTGACAAGCACAGAGATGCAGAGCAGGTACACAGTGAAACTGATACCTGTCGCCCCCCCCCCTCCATCTCCATCATGCACATGTTTCCATTTGTCTCCCACGCACACTTTCACATCCTCACAGGAACAGAAACAGAAGGAAATAACCATACAGCCATTTCTCAGGGGTGCAGAGACTCACTCAGAGCCTCCAGAGCACAAGTCTGGGATCTCCAGCCTGTGTGAAGGCCTCACCGAACAGCAGCCTTGCTCTCCAGTTCCTACCGTCCTGAACTCGTAACCCAAGTGAACTCCTGGGCTGAAAGAGGAAATAGTCCTCCCAGATCTAAGAGAAGCTGCCAGGCAGGGCTACAGCCTTAGATGGGGCCCCCCACAATGGGCCCCTTGGCCCACCACCCACAGCCCCTTCCGGCTTCCTCCATTAGCAGCAGAGCGAGGAAAAACCTCCTAAGTCATAGAGAGGCTGACAGAAGGGAGAGCCTGAAAGACAGAGAAGGGGAGAGACATGGGGAGTCCAGAGAGAAAGGATATGAGAGAAATGGGGATAGGGACAAAGAGAGAATAATATGGAAATTTAGAGGTAATGAAAGAGCAAATTGATGGCAGAAACAAAGTTTCGGGAGAGGGAGACAGACAGAGAGAAGACAGGGATGGGGAGGAGGAGACAAAGTAGGGGAAGAATTGGGAAGGGGGAGACAAGAGAGGAGGCAGATGGGGAAAGGAAGGAAATGGGACAGGGAGGGAGATGTTGGGAGCGCCCCTTACCCTTACCCCAAAGTTCTGGGGAAGAAGCCAGAGACCTGAGGCCAAGACTGGGGCTTTTAGTGGAAACTGGGAGGGGATGAATTTTTCACCAAGTGCCTGCACTGCCCTGAGTTTCCAGAAGGTGATGTGGAGTTTCCATCCTCAGCCCGTCCGCAGACAGGGCCCTCTGGGAAGGCAGCTGGCGCTCAGGAGCTGGGGGCCCAAATGAGTAATCCGCCAGGCACTACCCCCTTCTCTTGTTGCTCCTCAAGTACCTGGCACTAGTATGCCAAGCACTGTGCGTACATCGACTCTCTTAATTCACGGGTCAGGGATTTAATTATTATCATACTTATCTTAGGATGCATTAGGAGCCTCGGAATGCAGAAATTGATTCTCAAAATCGTACCGCTTACAGAAATGACCGAGGCGGGATTCGAACTCGCGCTTAATATCTCCGGGCTCTTGCAAGCTCCCAGAGCCTCTCGGCCCCGCCCCGGTTTCCATAGAGACAGGCACCAGATGTCTCCATAGCAATATATCCAATAATACCCCGCCCGCTCCCCGCCATCCTCGCTATCTAGTACATACGCCCATCTGGTCACGTCACCGCGCAGCGACGCCTCACGTGATCGCCTCTCCGGTGCCGGAAGTAGGTGACACGGCGCCGGAAGCGGCCGGCAGAAGAACCTCGTGGAGGAGACGCCAGCATGGGGCAGTCGGGGCGGGTGAGGTGCGGCGGTCCGGGAGGCGGACAGCGCGGGCGGGGGGGGTCCCCAAAGCCGCAGGGTTCACCTCCCGCCTCTCGCCCCCGTAGTCCCGGCACCAGAAGCGCGCGCGCGCCCAGGCCCAACAACGCAACCTTGAGGCCTACTCCGCGCAGCCGCACTCGTTCGTGTTCGCTCGGGGCCGCGTAGGTCGCGGCGTCCGTCAACTCAGCCTGGACCTCCGGCGGGTCATGGAGCCGCTCACCGCCACCCGTCTACAGGTGTGCATCCTCCAGCCCGCCTCCACCTGCCCTGGGTCCCGTCTTCGAGGCTGCGGGGATGGCTTAGCCGCGCGGGGCCTCATTTTCCTTGGCTGGAGAAAGGGAGCCTTATGGGGATCATCGTCCTTGCCTCTCAGAGCTTTGCGGGGCAGCAGCAAGGGCGCGCGGATGCAAGCACTCAACTTAGGGTTTGGCTGGGTGCCTGAGGCTAGTAATTAAGAGGGGACTCTGGAATCAGCAAAGCTGCGTGGGAAACTTGACTGTTCTCAAAGGCCTGGAGCAACTTAGGTAACCTCGCCGGGCTTCAGTCAGCTCATCTTTAAAATGAGGTGATGCACAGTAAGCAAGGGACAGAGGCGGTCCTCGAATTCAAGTCTCACTGGCTTTAGAGGCCAACAGCATTCCACTCCTCTCTCACCTCCTTCTCGGAAGGAAGGATTAGATGCAGGAAAGAGCATAGCAGTATAAGCTTATAATCTTTGCTCACAAAAGGGATGTTTTTTATCTTTTTTTCCCCTGATATCCAGATACGAAAGAAAAATTCTCTGAAGGATTGTGTGGCAGTGGCTGGGCCCCTTGGGGTCACACATTTCCTAATATTGAGCAAAACGGAGACCAATATCTACTTTGTGAGTGGATTCCTGCCCCCATTTCCCCTCATCTTTCTTTTCCCTCAACTCTCTTGATGAGCCCATGTGCCTCTGAGCTGCCATGATTCTGGCTTCAAAGTAAACGCTCTGAAGAGATGGAGCAAAGGTTCCCACTCCCCCTGCTCCCTATCTGGATGCCTTCATCCTCATTGGTCCTTTCTTCTGTAGAAGCTGATGCGCCTCCCAGGAGGCCCCACTTTGACCTTCCAGATCAACAAGGTAAGGCTTGGAGTGGTATGAGAACCATGTTGGGTAGGAGATGGGTTTGGGAATGACGCCAGCCATGTGTGGTTGGTGGTCACCTACTGCTCACCCTGCCCTACAGTATACATTGATGCGGGACGTCGTCTCCTCACTGCGCCGCCACCGCATGCACGAGCAGCAGTTCACACACCCTCCCCTCCTGGTGCTCAACAGCTTTGGCCCCCAAGGCATGCATGTGAAGCTCATGGCCACTATGTTCCAGAATCTGTTTCCCTCCATCAATGTGCACAAGGTGGGCAGAGCCTGCTGTGGTGGCAGCTGTGGATGGATGGGGCAGGTAACAGGTATCACACAGGCCCTGGGGTTGACTGCTTAGTCCTCACCTCCCAGTACTGAGGCTGAGAGTGCTGGCTCCTAAGGTCAAGTCTCACTTGTATTGTGTGCCACAGGGCAAGAGGCCTCCTATGAGCTGCCCTCCCACCTGGCAGGTGGAAAATGCTGATGGTGCTTTATTGAGTGCTAGCATAAGCAGTGGTAGCTTGTGTTGTCTTGGCCCCATCTTAGAGAGGGAAACTGAGGCTGGCAAGTGAAGATACTACTCTGAGATTAGATATAAGGCAGCAGCTCCTAATCCCTGGCACCAGCAGGTCTCAAATTCTGCTTGTTAGATGTGATCATTAGGGAGTCTGGAGTGGTTAGCCTTGGTGGGTGCTTGAACCAGGATTTCTAGCCAGCAGTCCATGGACACTACTTGCAGCCCCATCGGTCCCTGTAGGGCTTGGCTTGGGCTTCAGTATGCAGTGAGGCCTAAAGGCAACTGACATGGTACCATGCCCTCATCCTCTTCTTTCCAGGTGAACCTGAATACCATCAAGCGCTGCCTTCTTATCAACTACAACCCTGACTCCCAGGATCTGGATTTCCGCCACTAGTGAGTGGAGAGGCTAGAAGGGGGTGGGCAAGGGAGACTACCCGGTGTGTGTAGTTTATGACAGTGCTCTTGCCGAGACTCGGTGATTGCTCAATCTCAAAGTAAATGCCCTGATACACTAGAAAAGGTGAGAGAGTAGGGCTGGTCTCCAACCCTGTGACCCCTAATCGTCCTCCTCACTCACTACGGCCTTTGCAGTAGCATCAAAGTCGTTCCAGTGGGCGCAAGTCGTGGGATGAAAAAGCTTCTTCAAGAAAAGTTTCCCAACATGAGCCGCCTGCAGGACATCAGTGAGCTGCTGGCCACGTGAGGAAGGGGACAGTGGGAGGCTACCATAATCCAGGGGACCCCAGGAGCCTGGGATCCCCTGCTGAGCTGGATGTCCCTGGCACAGGGGCGCAGGGCTGTCAGAGAGTGAGGCAGAGCCGGATGGTGAGCACAACATTACGGAGCTACCCCAGGCCATCGCAGGGCGTGGCAACATGCGGGCCCAACAGAGTGCTGTGAGGCTTACTGAGGTGAGGCTCAGTGACTGAGGTGACTTTCTCTGGCAGCCCCCAGCCCTAAGGAGGACTGACTCTTCCTCCATGTTCCTCCAGATCGGACCTCGGATGACACTGCAGCTTATCAAGGTCCAGGAGGGCGTCGGGGAGGGGAACGTGCTCTTCCATAGTTTCGGTGAGGACAGGGCTGGCAGGCACGGGGCCTGGGGTCTGAGGCCCTCTAAGGTGGGTTGTTAGATACATTGAGCACACCTGAATCTTGGTAAACCATCCTTTCTAAGTCCACAAGACAGAGGAGGAACTGCAGGCCATACTGGCAGCCAAGGAGGAGAAGCTGCGGCTCAAGGCCCAGAGGCAGGACCAGCAGGCCCAGAATGTCCAGCGTAAGCAGGAACAGCGAGAGGCCCACAGGTGTGTGGTCAGTGGGTGAGGTGGGTTCCTGGTACAGGCTGCCACACTGATCAACATTCCTTTTCTCCAGGAAGAAGAGCCTGGCGGGTATGAAGCGGGCAAAGGCAGGAGCCGATGGGGATAGTGATGCTGAGGACCCTGGGGTCACCCCAGAGGTAGAGAGAGTTGGACAGCAGGAGGAAGAGGATGAAGCTGAGTATTTCCGCCAGGCAGTGGGGAAAGAGCCTGATGAAGGTATGTGGCAGGAATCCGTGCAACTGGGCACTGGAACCTGTCTCTGTGCCTGGTGATGCTGACACAGTCTTTCCTCACAGATATGTTCCCGAAGGCCCAGTGGAGACGGCCCAACGGGCCTCCAAGCAAGAAGCAGCGGGTAAAGCAGCAGAGGCCAGACCGCAGCAGTGACCGGAGGCCTCCAAAAGCCAAGGGCAGGCCCTGGGGCGCCCAGGCCAAGCCAGGGCCTCGAGGCGCTGCTCAGGACTGTGGCCGAGGCCGAGCACGGCCACCTAAGAGAGTAGCCTGAGGCTGAACCTGAGCTGCAAATGGAATGCCCCAGATTGGGGCCCTAGAGAATGCTGCCCTGGGCTCCTCCCTGAGCATCCAGGTACAGCCCTTGGTTTCCTTTCATAAAGGAGCTGGTTCCTCAATCTCCTTCCTAATAAACACTGATTTCTCATGAGTCAGGCTGTATTTGGAATGGGGGGACCAGGAGCAAAGGCTCAGAGAGGCCAGTAGCCCCTGGGAGTTGGGCCTGGAAGTGCAAAATGTAAGGTGGAGCTCAGATTTGCTCATGTCCTTTGGTGCCTTGGTCCTGGGCCCCTCCTCAATCTGAGGTTTCTTGTCAGCAGAGGCCAGATCTGGAGTTTCATGAGGAAGGAAATGGGCTGAAGGGTGGCTGACGCTTTACTAGACCTGACCTATTTTATTCTGTGGGCTGTAGGCGGAGCTGCTGGGGAAGGAGTGGCCAGTGGGTTGCTGTTCCCTGGGGGTGGGACCACAACATTTTGTGGGCAGCAGACCTAAAGGCAGGGCGAGGGCCATGGCAGACACAACCTCAGGTGAGGAGGGCCCTGGCCCCTGGGATTGTGGGGGAGGTTGGGGAGGGGCAGATGGTGTGAGAGTCATGTCTGACTCAGGCCAGTGTGGCTCAGTGGTTGAGCATCGACCCATGCACAAAGAGGTCATGCGTTTGATTTCCAGTCAGGACACAAGCCCAGGTTGTGGGCCTGATCCCCAGTGGGGGGCATACAGAAGGTTGCCAGTCAGTGCTCCCTCTTACTGATGTTTCTGTCTAATTTCCTCTCGCTCTAAAATCAAGGGGGGGGGGGGGGGGGATATGTCTGAAAGGAAGCTTCCTCCCAGGGCCCTGGGGCCGAGAGCTGGGACAGGAAGACAGAAGTGAAAGCGTGTAACAGTCTGGTGAGGGAGGTCTATACACAGCACAGTAGCCAGCAGACAAGTCATTTCTCAGAAAGCTGAGGTTGAGTCGGGGGGTGAGGGAATTAACTGCAGGGCTTTCCTCCCCCTAGGCTGTAGTTTACCCAGGTGCTGTTTTGGACACTGGGGAGCTCCAAGACAGCACTCCCTGCCTTCAGAACAAATTCTTTGCTGGGGATTTTATTTAAACAGTGTTCTGATGGAGATACAGGCTGTTTTGAGGAAGAAAAAAAAAAGCAGGGACTGGTGCTAAGGGGTGCAGTAGCAATATTAGGGTGTTGAGAACCAGAGGTGTCTCACTTTGAGGATGTCTGACTCATGCAAAAAGAATAGCCATTCTGCCCTGGCCAGTTTTGCTCAGTGGTTAGAGCGTCGGCCTGCGGTCCAGAGAGACCTGGGTTTGGTTCCCGCTAAGGGCATGTACCTCGGTTGCAGTTTGTCCCCGGCCCTGGTTGGGTGGTGCCGGTGGCAGCTACTCCATGTGTACCTTTCACGTCAATGTTTCTTTCTTCTTTCCCTCCCGCTCTATCTGAACAAAAAGTGAAAAAACGTCCTCAGGTGAGGATAAAATAAAATTAAAAAAAAAGCCATCCCTGGCCAGTTTGGCTGAGCAGTTAGAGCGGAGGCCCGGGGACTGAAGGGTCTCAGGTTCAGTTCCCCATCAAGGACTCATACATGGGTTGCAGGTTCAATCCCTGGCCCTGGTCAGGGTCACGCAGGAGGCAACCAATTGATGTGTCTCACACATCAATGTCTTTCTCCCTCCCTTCCTTCCAGTCTGTAAAAATCAATGGAAAAATGTCCTCGGGTGAGGATTAACCAAAAAATAAAGAAGGTCCAGTGCAGGATCTCCCTAAGGAACAGCCAGAGTCATGGGGAGCAGAAAATGAAAGCAAGTGAATGGGAGTGAGAGCTCCCTAGGGGCCTTGTGGGATGAAGCAAGCACTGGCTTTTTCTCCCAGTAAGAAGGGAGCCCTAGAGTAGGCTGTGAGCAGAGGGTTGCAACCTGACAAGTGCTCACAGGCACATTTTAGAGGCTTTGGTAAGAACAGGCTGGGTGAGGGAGGGAGCTGGGAGACCAGGGCCTAAGCAACTGCTGGTCCAGGTGGGAGATGATGTGGGCTGAAAACCTGTGGCACTAAGGGGGTGACATTTTGAGGGTGGGGACTTGCTAATGGATTGGAGGATTTCAGTGGGGTCTGAGACTCCTGGGCTCCTATTCCTCCACCCAGGCCTGATGACTTCCGGTCATCACAGCCAGGTTACATGGGTCCTGCAAGGGCAACAATTCCCCCCTGGTTCTTCCCCCAGCTGGTTCTTGAGGGTACAGGACCCCAAGAGAGCCAGTTGAACTCTGGACTTCTGACCTTTCTAGTCCTGATTCTCTGTAAAAAGGAGCTGAGACCAGTGCCCCGCCTGGGAGTGAACAGTACTCAGCAAAGGTCTGCATACAAAGGGGTCGTGCAGGCCTGGCACACAGCAGGTATTCAGGACTGGTGCCACAGCACAGTGCAGCTCTGAAAGTGCAAGCCACATTGACAAGGTTCACTCGGCAATCCCCTCGTCCACAGGTGCCCCACCCTGCCTCGCCAACATCTCAGCGGCTGCTGACCGAATCCTCAGTAAATTCCAGGAAGACTTCCTGTGGCCCATGCTGGTGGCCGAGTTCCTGGTGGCTGTGGCCGGTAACAGCCTGGCCCTCTACCGCTTCAGCACACGGGAGCAGCGCCCATGGCACCCAGCTGTGATCTTCTCAGCCCAGCTGGCTGTCAGCGACCTGCTCTATGCCCTGACACTGCCTCCACTGGCTGCCTACTTCTACCCACCCAAGCACTGGCGCTATGGGGAGGCCATGTGCCGCCTGGAGCGTTTCCTCTTCATCTGCAACATGCTGGGCAGCGTCATCTTTGTCACCTGCATCAGCCTCAACCGTTACCTGGGTATTGTCCACCCCTTCTTTACCCGCAGTCACCTGCGGCCCAAGCATGCCTGGGCCATTAGTACTGCAGGCTGGGTGCTGGCAGCCCTGCTGGCTGCACCCACACTCAGCTTCTCCCACCTGACTACACCACATCAGGAGGGCAACTGCACCGTGGACAAACCTGAGGCCTGCATTAAGTGCCTGGGGACTGCAAGTGACAACCAGCTCAAGGCCTACAAAGCCTACAGCCTGGTGCTGGTGGCACTGGGCTGCACCCTGCCACTGCTGCTCACCCTGATAGCCTACAGTGCCCTTGGACGGGCCATGCTACGTAGCCATGGCATGACAGCAGCCAAGAAAATGCACGTGGCAGTGCTGGTGGTCAGTGGTGTGGCACTCTATGCTAGCTCCTATGTGCCCTACTATGTCACATGGGTAATCAACATGTCCGCCCGGAAGCACTGGCTAGCCCGCTGCCCGACCTTCGTGGACGTGGCTCAGGCTTTGGAAGCATTGGACCTTGGGGCCTACGTGGGCCACCAGGTGACACGGGGCCTTGTGCCCCTGGCCATCTGCATCCACCCACTGCTCTACATGGCTGTGGCACCCAGCCTAGGCTGCTGCCATCAATGCTGCCTTGGCTGCAGGGAGGGCCAGGCCCCAGAGAATGCTGAGAGCTCCAGTCAAGCGCTGCCCCTCAATGTCATAGCCACCAAAACCTCGGAGCCCCAGTTCCCTGAGATGAGCCCATGACCTGGCCTACCTTGAGTCTCTTTCCCACCACATGGCGCTAGGACCCAGCAGCACAACAGAGGTGAGAGCCCAGGAGGCCCCAAACCACTTCCCCAAAGAAAAGGCCTGTCACGAAAACAGCAAGCACCCAGAGTAGCAAGAATTTCCACCCACAGCACAACTGCCACAAGATGGGTGTTAGTCATATAAAAATAGGACACATAGAGCATCTGAAGTCTTTTTATTGTCCTTGGAGACTCCTGCTTTCCGAGGCTGCCTTCTATTTCCACAGGGGTCCTAGGGCCAGGTGCCAAACAGCAGCAGCAGCGTCAGCAGCAGCGACAACTGGCTTAGTTGGTGGATGGCCTAGAGAGGAAGACAGGAGTGATGAGAAGGGCAAGTGCGGGGGCTTCAGGCCCCAAAGGAAATCCCAAGACACCCCCCAACACACACACACAAAACTGAGGCCTCATAGGGGGTGCCACACATGGAGCTAGACCAATGATGAACAGCCTGGCCCTGGACAGCAGTGGCCCCTCCTCGAGATGAAAAGGACAATAAATGACTTGCACTTCAAAACAGGCTTGGTGATTATTCAACTGGTGTGGGGCCGCAGTCAGCTGTGACATGGTGATGGGGCAGGGGAGGGGTCTTACTTAGCCCACTCAACGTTGAGAATGAGGTGGTCATAGCCGAAGCCAGACACTCCGGCAATGGCGCGGGCAGCATCCTCTCGACGGTGGAAGCTGATGAAGGCAAATCCCTGGGGAAGGAGAGGAAGAAGAGCATTCAGGGCACAGCCAGACAGATGACCCCTTCCTACCACGGCCGCCAGCCCACCTTGGACTGGCCAGTGGTCTTGTCCTTCGCCAAGTAGATGCGGGAAATGGAGCCAAAGGGCCTGAAGAGCTCTTGCAGGTCTGTCTCACGGGTGTCCTCTGACAGGTTGGTGACACGGATGGTGGCATTGTCATCAGCTGGGCATCGGACAAGGAGAAGCAGCTGTGAGGGGCCGGGACGCTTGGGCCCCACCCAAAAGATCATCACTGGTGCTGGGAAGTGCTTGCTCATGAGCCAGCATCAGGGTGCTCTCACTGCCTCACCTCTACGGTTGGGCTGCATGGACTCCCCACGGCGGCTGGCCCCGTCCCGCAAGCTTGGGGGCACATATTTCCCCGTCTTGTTCTGGGCCGCCTGCACAGGTTCCAGCTCTGGAAATGAAAACGACAGTTGGGCCAGGCCTCTCACCCTAGCACAGCAGAGAGAGAGACCCACCCAGGATGCTAGTGGTTCCAGCCCTGACCCGGCCCAGGCACTGTCTGTCAAAACCACAGGTATCCAGTTGGTCCCTCAAAGACCTGGTGGCCAGGATGACACAAAGGTTACATGCAGGAAACCAGCAGCACACAGAGCAAGAAGCCATAGGCATTGATACGATCTGATGTGCCCATAGGGCTGAGCTAGAGGAATGCCCTCCCTAGCCAACAAGGAGGAACACAAGCACACGAGGCAGGGAAGTCCCAAGGTTCTACACATGGAAGTTAACAAGTATGCCACACATAAAAGTCAGATGTAGAGTTGTGTGAACTTAAACTCACCACCAGCAAATCACGCTGAAGGACGTGGACTGTGGGCAGTCATGTGTGTCTACTTATAGGCGTGCATGTGCACACACAGAAACTCACAGGCAGCAGCCATGTCCATGGCAGACAGACACAGCACACTCAAGTCAAGACCGTCACAAAATCAGCAGCAGAATCACAGCAGGCAAGTCACACACAAGGGTCCACCATCTCCCAACCGTGCATGGTGTAGTCAAACAGGCATGCACACGGGCAGTTCTCACAGCCCCCAACAAGGAGACAGGTGACATCACCAGCAGTCACGGCACCCACCTGGCCAGTCTCTCTCTCACACACACAAACAAGGCACTACAGCCTTTGAAGTGCTGACACTGTAGTGTGGAAGATAACTTTGATGGGACAGCCCGCTCACACAAAGCCGGTGACAGCCAAGGACTCTCAAGGCACACATAGTCCTCCCCACCTCCTCCAAGACCTGCCAGCCATATTCCCAGACCCCGTCACCTCCAGGAAGTTTCTCCTTCTCGCCAGTGGACAGGCCCAGTTGCTCAGCCAGCTCCTTCTGCATGGGTCCCAGTGTGTCCTTGTAGGGGCAACGGGTGGTCCAGTGGTCGCCCTTGCAGATGCGGCAGGACACAATCTTCTGGCCCTTGAGCTTGTTCATTGGGTCCTCCTCCTCCTGGCAGTTCAGATCCTGGCAGGACAAACGGAGGCAGCTCAGAAGGGGGCAACCACACCACCACCATCACCACCCTGACCACCACCATCCCGCCCTATTGTCCCACTTACCTCCTTACTGGTGATAAAAGTCATAGACACATCATCACTGACTGTGGTGGTGGCCACATTGGGCCCTGGTGGGTCAAACTCTGAGTTCCCAAACTTCTTCCAGTTCTGGGATCAGCGCAGGGTGAAGGAAAGGTCAGGGTAAAGGCAGAAGCAGGTAGGCCCTCCCCACTGCACCCCTTTCAGGGTGTCTTGGCCTTAAATCCCATTCTCCACCCTCTCCAAATGCCCCCGACAGTAGTGACAATGACAGTTCCTGTTTACTGAGTGCATGCCAGGCCCTAGTTTCATGCCAGCTTCAGGAGACTGGGACACCTCTCAGCCCTATGTTCTAAATGAAAGAACAGAAGCCCAGCGGGAAACGGCTGCACAGTCAACAATTCCTGGGTGGTAGACCAGCTCCCACCAGGGAACAATGCTCAGGTGTGCAGAGGTCACCCAGACCTCAAGAGGCCTTGGGGCTAGCTAAACAACCTGAGCCTCAGCTTCCTCCCCTGTAAAGTGGGGATCACAAATGCTCCCACCTCCCTGCGTTGTTATGGGGATCAAATGAGAAAACTCCTACAGCCCTGGCCGGTTTGGCTCAGCAGTTAGAGCGTCAGCTTGCAGTCCAGAGAGACCCAGGTTCAGTTCCCGCTAAGGGCATGTACCTCAGTTGTAGTTTGTCACGAGCCCTGGTTGGGTTGTGTGGGTGGCAACCACTCAATGTGTCCCTTTCACGTCGATGTTTCCCTCTCTCTCTCTCTCCCACTCTATCTGAACAAAAAAATGTCGAGTGAGGATAAAAAAATAAAATAAAACAGTCCTTCTTAGACATACCTTTAAAAAATAAAATAAAAAACTCCTCCTACAAAGCATATGACCTGGAGTCAGGTACAAAGTGTGCAGATAACCATGCCAAATCTATTTATTGCTATCACTTCTTCTGCTATGACCACCTCTAGGAAGTACTTGGCTCTGTTCCTCCTGGTAGAGAAGCCAAGGGTAAGAAACAAGCTCACCCACTCCTGAACCCTGGACTTTTTGAGACTCCAACAGAGTGCAAACACCCTTGGCCTCAATTCCCCTCCAACAAAATAGATAAACCAGCTACACCTCACTTCTACAAATAAAGGCACTGGGGCCCAGCTGGTATGGCTCAGTGGACCATGTGTCATTCCATGGACTGAGAGGTCCCGGTCTGATTCCCGGTCAGGGAACATGTCCGGGTTGCAGGCTCGAACCCCAGTGTGGGGCATGCAAGAGGCAGCAATCGATGTTTCTCTCTCTATATAAAAGTCAATGAAAACATATTTTAAAAAATAAACATAAATAGTCTGGCCCTGGACGGTTTGGTTCAGTGGTTAGAGTGTGGGCCTGCAAACCAGAGTCCCGGGTTTGGTTCCCGCTGAGGGCACGTATCACAGTTGCAGTTTGTCCCCACCCCGGTTAGGGTCATATGGGTGACAACCAGTCGATGTGTCTCTCTCACATCGATGTTTCTCTCTCTTCCCGCCCCCTCTCCCTCCCGCTATCTGAAGATAAATGCAAAAATGTCCTCAGGTGAGGATTAAAAAAAAAAAGTCCAGCCGGTGTGGCTCAGTGGTTGAGCATTGACCCATGCACCAAGAGGTCGCCAATTCAATTCCCAGTCAGGGCACATGCCCAGGTTGTGGGCCCAATTGCAGTAGGGGGATCCCCAGTGGGGGGCATACAGGAGGCAGCCGGTCGATGTTCTCTCTCAATGATTTTTCTGTCTCTCTCCCTCTCACTTCCTCTCTCTCTAAAATCAATAAAGAAAAACAATTTTTTTAAATAAATAAATAATAAGTAAAGGCACTAGAGGAAAAAATTCTTAATTCTTCTGAGTCAGTCCTCAGGGACCCCCATGACAAGGGGAGCAGAGTCTCACCTTCCTCCTTGCAACAGCCTTTGAGGCCTTCCGAGTCTCAATTCTGAAGGTGCGGACAATCTGTGGATAGGAAAGGAGAGGTTTGGGCTTCCTGTGCCTAAGGCTCCTGGGCCCAAGGGAATTTCCTCACCAACCCACCCACCACCTCTCCTGGTCCAAGTGCTCCATCTCCTCAACCAGCCTTACCTTGAACTTCTTGCCATCCTCATCTATCTTATATTCAGTCACTGTCTTGATGTTTCCATTGATGACCTCCTTGGGAGACGGAAGTGGAGCTGTGACAGGGGAAGAGGCGAGAGGAACTGAGCCATGTGTAATGGGGACTAGGGGGAATGTGGCTAGAGAGAGAGGTGGCCCAGGGATGGAGTGGAGGTTGTCACTCACCTCCTGGCAGCAATTCAGGCTCTGGGCTCGTGTCGCCAGTGGACAGAGGGATTCCCTTGAGGAGCTCGCTGGTGACACATTTGTCTGTGAGAAGGGAGTGTGGGGAGAGGGATGAGGTGGTGGAGCAGGAATTCCCAAGCTAAAAAGAAGGGACTTTGGGGATGATGCCCAAACCAGGAGCTGAGAAAGGCAGGGCCAAGGCCAGAGGACTGGCCAGGAAGTGCCCTGGGACAACCATGCGGGCACACCCAAGCTGGCTGTAAAAACCTCAGCACTGGCATGAAAGTGGGATAGGCCACCAAGGCATCCGGGCGCTGGCACAAAGGCAGGAGGCAAACTGTTACAACTTCCTCCCCGGAGTAGAGGAGCGGCTGAGAGGACTTGAGCAGTGACATGGGAGAAAGAGGGGCTGGCCAGTGAACATCTGGAATTGGCGACAGCCTGGCCCATAAAAGGATGGCGCGGGACGAAGGCTGGCCGTGAAGGGAAATGCAGGCTCGGACTGCGGTGCCAAGGTGGGAGCTGGTGCAGGCGTCAGTGACCGGGCTGGGGGCTGGCGGCAGTGACCCTGGGCGACCAGGAGTACTCACCGTCCTCTACCTCCTCCTCCACCTGGTCGGCCCAGCTGGGCTTCGAACTGCGGGAACAAGTTTGTGAAGGAAAAGGGCTGGGTCAGCAAGGCCCAGCTCCCGCAGCCTCGGCGCACCCAGGCCCCACAATACCCCATAGGCTCCCACAAATCGCTTCCCGGGCCCCTCTCCCCGACCCTCCACTCACTCAAAGTCTCCAGTGGGCATTGCAAAAACCTCCTCCACGCAACCCGAGCCTGGGCCAGAGACCGGAAGTAAAGGGAAAACGAGACTTCCGGTTGGTGGCCTACACCAGCCCGCCCAGCGCCCACAGCGCCCCCTGTAGTCAGAGATGCCCGCTGTGTGAGCGGCTGGGCGCTGGTACCCTAGTAGAAGCAGAGGCGCACTTCAAGCCTTTATCCCATTACCTTTATTATTATTTTTAAAATCCCAGACAAGGAAAAACTAAAGAACTTTATCACCACCAAACCAGTATTACAAGAAATGTTAAAGGAACTTCTTTAAGAAAAAAAAAGAAAAGATTAAAAAGTATGAATAACAAAATGGCAGTAACATACCTATCGATAACTACTTTAAATGTAAATGAATTAAATGATCCAATCAAAAGACATAGGCGGGGCCTGTGTCGCTCAGTGGTTGAGCCTTGACCTATGCACCAAGAGGTCACCAGTTGGATTCCTGGTCAAAGCACATGCCCAGGTTATGGGCCCGATCCCCAGCTGGGGGCATGCAGGAGGTGGTCAATCCACATTCTCTCTCAGATGTTTCTGTCTCTCTCTCTCTCCCTTCCTCTCTTTAAAATCAATAAAGAAAAAAATTTTTTTAAAGACATAGGGTAGATGAGTGGATAAGAAAACAAGACCCATTTATATGCTGACTACAAGAGACATACTTAGATTGCAAGACACATACAGAATGAAAGTAAAAGAATGGAAAAAAGATATTTCATGCAAATGGAAATAAAACAAAAAAGCTGTGGTAGCAGTACTTATACTATACAAAGTAGACTTTAAAACAAAGGTTAAACAAGAGATAAAGAGGGACCCAGCAAGTCCACTTCTGGATATTTACCTGAAGAAACCCAAAGCACTAATTCAAAAAGACATGCACCACCAAGTTCACTGCAGCATTATTTACAATAGACAGATATGGAAGCAACCTAAATGTCCATCAATAGACAAATGGATAGAGAAGAGGTGGTACATATACACAATGGAATATTACTCAGCCATAAAAAAAGAGTGAAATCTTGCCATTTGCAACACCATGAATGAACCTAGAGGGTATTATGCTAAGTGAAATAAGTCAGGCAGAGAAAGACAAATACCATAAGATTTCACTTATGTGTGGAACCTGAAAAATAAAACAAACAAAACAGAAACAAATTCATAGATACAAAGAACAGACCGATGGTTACCAGATGAAAGGGGGTTGTGGAGATGTGTGAAAAGGGGCAAGAGATTAAGATGTGCAAATTACTAGTTATAAAAACAGTCACAGAGGTGTAAAGTACAGCATAGGGAATATAGTCAATTATATTGTAATAACTACGTATGGTATCATAGGTACTAGATTTATCGGGGGGATCACTTTGTGAGTTATATAAATGTCTAATCACTATGTTATACACTTAAAATTAATATAATAGTATATGTCAACTCTAATTTTAAAATAAAAAAATTATTGTAAAAAATTTAACTGTCGCCCTGGCCATTTTGCTCAGCAGTTAGAGCGTCGGCCTGCAGTCTGGAGAGATCCGGGTTCGATTCCCACTAAGGGCACGTACCTCGGTTGCAGTTTGCCCCCGGCCCTGGTTGGGTCGTGTGGGTGTCGACCACTCTGTGTCCCTTTCACGTCGATGTTTCCCTCTCTCCCTCTCTTTCCCATTCTGTCTGAACAAAATATTGAAAAATGTCCTGGGGTGAGCATAAAAAAAAATTTTACTGTCAATTATACCTCAATAATAATTATACCTAAATAATAAAATGAGACTTCTGGTCAAGATGGCAGCATAGGTAAATGTGGTACTCGCCTCCTCCCACAACTACACCAAAATTACAACTAAACTACAGAACAAACATCCTTCAGAACCGCCTGAAATCGAGCTGAATGGAAGTCCCACAACTACAAAATTAAAGAAGAAGCTACATTGAAACTGTTCCTTAAATATTTGAAGAGGGAAGGTGAACCAATGGACTATATAATGCACACATCTGAAAGAGCAAGAGGAAACCCTAGGAAAGAAGCATCATCTCAAAGTCATCTGGAATAACAGTTTTGCCCACTTTTTTCTAGAAAATAAAGAGCCTTTCCTCTTGGTGTGATTCTGCCCTCTGTGGCCAGACAGCTGAGAAGTCAACAGGAGCTAAGAAGCAACAGACAAAACCGAAGGACACATTTTTTTTTTAAATCCTCACCCGAGGACATTTTTTTCATTTCTTGTTCAGATAGAGTGGGAGGGAGAGAGAGAGAAACATCGACGTGAAAGTGGTTGCCACCCGCACGACCAACCAGGGCCGGAGACAAACTGCAACCGAGGTACTTGCCCTTAGCGGGAACTGAACCCTGGTCTCTCTGAACTGCAGGCCAACACGCCAACCGCTGAGCCAAACCAGCCAGGGTGCAATTGACTCTTTTTTATAACTTTATACTTTCTATTAGATTAAAAAAAAACTATAGTCCTTAAAAATAAACAATAATAACCCTGGCCAGTTTGGCTCAGCGGTTGAGCGTCGGCCTGCGGACCAGAGAGTCCCGGTTTCAGTTCCCACTAGGGGCACATACCACCAAAAAAAAAAAAGAATAATAAAATGATTAATAATAACAATAAAGCTCACTCATTGAGCACTTACTTGCTGCATGCCAGGTGCTGTGAGGAGGAAATTATCACTTCCATTTTGCAGCTGAAAAAGCCAAGGCTAGTCTTCCTTGTCTGGAAATAACTTTTCTGGTTCAGATTATCAAGTGGCTCTTCAACCACTCTCCTTTCTTTCCTCTGTAACATTCTTGACTCTCTGATATAATCTTTTCCATTTATTTGTTTATTTTTCAGCTTTCCCATGCATTCTCAATGTGGGTGATATGGCTCCCAAGGACACCAGAATTAATGCTTAGGAGAAAAAACCCTCAAATAATACAATGGCTTGTGGCCTTCCAAAGCCAGCCCTCCCAAATAATATCTTATTACTAAACATTTAATTTCCATAATTAAAGATAAATCGAATGTAATTAGCTTGAAATTGATTTTAAAATTTTTTCTTTATTGATTTTTGAGAGAGAGGAAGGGAGAGGGAGAGAGAGATAGAAACATCAGTGAGAGAGGACATCTATTGGTTGCCTCCTGCACGCCCCAAACTGGGAATTTGGCCCACAACCTGGGCATGTGCCCTGACTGGGAATTGAACTGGCAACCTTTTAGTGCATGGGTCGACACTCAAACACTGTGCCACACCAGCCTGGTGAAATTGATTGATTTAAATTAAAGATAATTTGCCCTGGCCGGTTTGGCTCAGCGGTTAGAGCGTCGGCCTGCGGTCTGGAGAGACCCGGGTTCGGTTCCCGCTAAGGGCATGTACCTTGGCTGCAGTTTGTCCCCGGCCCTGGTTGGTTCGTGTGGGTGGCGGCCACTCGATGTGTCCCTTTCACGTCGATGCTTCTCTCTCTTCCTCTCTCTCCTTCCCGCTCTATCTGAGTAAAAAATGGAAAAATGTCCTCGGATGAGGATAAAAATAAATAAATAAATAAATAAATAAATAAATAAATAAATAAATAAATTAAAGATAATTTTATTCTTTCCTTTATAGAGCAGAAATCATGAAAAAAGTTGGAGAAACACTGCTCTAAATGTCAGCTGCAGAAAGCAGACATTTGCCTGTTTTGTTCACCTGTGGAACCCCAACACCCAGAGGGTACCTGCATGTAGTAAGTGCTCAATTAATGGGTATTTGGAGCAGGGTAGGAACCAGATTATAAAATATTTTTTAAGCCAGACTAAAGAGTATAGGCTCTTTATCCTGTAGGTTGTGGGTGTGGATGTGGGTGAGGTCGTTGACATGTTTTGAGTGATAACCCACTGTGACCAGATTTTCTTATGAGAAAGATTATTCCAGAAGTGTGAAGAGGGTAGAGTGGAAAGAAATAAATTAGCAAGAGACCCAAAGGAGACTGGGAGAGTGAGTGAAAGAAAGAGGGTGGTCTAGAAATAAGGATGAAAATATCAAGTTTATACAAAAGACCAATAAACTTGTGTGCACTTACTCAAATTTACTCCAAGAAATGCAAAATTCAAACAACATAACAGATGGGAAAAATTTTTTAAATGTGATATTACCCAGTGATGGCCAAGACGTAGAGAAACAGACATTCACACGTTGTTAGTGCATGAAATTATGCAAACTTTTGGATTGAAATTTGATACCTACTAAAACTTAAACTACACAGATGTATTTTCCTTTGAACAGCTAATAATTCAGCCTGTGATAAAAACTTGTAAATGTTTGCAAAGATGTGAAAATGAGATATCCATGCAATATTGTTCATGATAGCAAAACTCAGAAACACCTATGTGTCCATTCATAGGGGCTGGTTAAATAAATTCAAGTCTACTCTGCTGTAATCTATACAGTGTTATGCAGTCTTTCAGGAAGTAGATCCATTTATGCTCATGTTAAAAAAAAAATCTCCAAGAGAAGAGGAGGAAGCAAGATGTAAAATGGCATATGTTATATGAACCAATTTGTGTAAATCTTTAATAACACGTAGTTATGTAGATATATGCAACCTATTTTCAGAAAAGAAATATCAAAGTGTTCCTAAGGGATGCTTTGAGAGGATGGCGTCAGAGGAGAAAAACTTATTTTTTGGACTTTTCTGCTACATTTTAATTTTTTACCATGTGTATATATTATTTTGATTTAAATATAAATATATACATAAATATAAAAATTATTTAATTCATATTACTTAGATATTAATGTGTAGCATGTATTTATGTAATACATGTGAGATGTAACATATATCTGCTAATTTGCATTCCCTGTCCTAGGACCAGCCTAAGGAAATACACATCGAAGTGCATTAACTTGTAAGAAAGTGTCCAGCACGCTTTAGTTTAAAGGACTGGAAAATAGAAAATGATGCAACCATCATGAATAAGGAATTAGCTAAATGTTGCCTTGTCTATAAACTGCACTGCCCAGATGACATCAGCCACTAAACATGGATGCTTCTGGGTGTTTTGATTTGGCCTCGTTTT